TTGTCTCAAGTGTTTTGTTTTTTCCTGGCGTCACTTCCGTTGTCCATCGGAAGTAGTTTAAAAATATGTAATTTTTAATTTTTTTCATTTTTCAATGTTAATAACATTGACATATACAGTGTTTCAAGTCAATTCATTTCCACCAAAAGTTGTACTTCTAAACCGGAAGTTGTCCAAAAATGAGTATTTTTCAGCCAAAGTTTCAGGAAATATTTGTACACACTCATTGTGGAGTTTTAAGTCGTTTTGAGCACTCCTTGTCATACCAGAAGTAAATCTAAAAGAAAAAGAACCGGAAATGGGTTTAAATTAAAAGATATCATTCTTTCATGTGTTTCTAAACATATTTTGAATAATTCAATCGCCTATGTTATTCAAATCTAATTGTTCTTTCTTCTTTTTTTGGAGTAAATCAATCAGTCAACATCGTAAATCGGGAGGAAGACCTACTCGTTGCTTTGCAACGAGCTTTGCTCTAGTTATTCATTTTTTCCTAGACGCCAACTTTGAGACCTCATATATTGCTCATTTCTGAACGGATTTTGCTCAAATTTACAGGGTTTATAGATGTTACAAAACTCTATTAGAATGCTGTCAAACATTTCAAAAATCCACTTCCGCTTTTGGGTTATCTCCCTTTAAATGAAAATTTAGGAGGCTTCATTTCCAGATAAAGGCTCCGAGACTACAAAAGCTGGAGTAGAAATTCTACCAAATTTAAATAACAGAAGCACTGAAGATGTGCACATCTGTTTTTGTTTTTCAATTTCTGTATTCAAAATGGCGCTAGAGAGGGGTCAAAAATTAGAAAGCCTAAAAGAGCGAAAATTTACACATATTTTCCTGTCTATCTTCTAAACTAAAAATATTTTGATAAAACATGTAGAATAAAGTTGTGCACAATTTTAAGGCCTTTCATTTGACATCACTAAAAGGGGTCTGGCCCCTAAATTTAGGGATCTGGGGCCCTTTAAAGTTTTTGATTTATAACTCAAAAACGGTAAATATTTCGAAAAAGCTGCAGTAATTAAAGTTGTTAATACACATCTTATTGAACTCAAGAAAATGTTATTTTGTTTGAGTCTTGTGTTCTAAATGAGCTAGAAGCATAACACATATACAGGTAAGTGTTTTCATTCAGCAAGTAAACAAGAGCTCTTTATGCGTGTAATCAAAATAAACTTACTATAAATAATAAACCTGGTTACATTAGATGCTAATATTCTTTAGAATCAAGTTCTTGAAGAATTCTGTGCTTTATTTCCAAATCATTTACTGAAAACTTTCCATTTTATTTCGTTTGTTTTCAAATTGGGATAAACCAGTCTACTAAACAGGGAAAAAAGATAACCTTTTTAGCTCACCTGAGCCGAAAGCTCAAGTGAGCTTTTCTGATCACATTTTGTCCGTCGTCCGTCTGTCTGTCTGTAAACTTTTCACATTTTTGACTTCTTCTCCAGAACCACTGGGCCAATTTCAACCAAACTTGCCTCAAAGCATCCTTGGGTAAAGGGGATTCAAGTTTGTTCAAATAAAGAGCCACACCCTCTTTCAAGGGGAGATAATTAAGAATTAGTGAAAATGTGGTGGCATCTTAAAAAATCTTCTTCTCAAGAACCACTGGTCTGTAAAAGTTGAAACTTATGTGAGACCTTCATTACATAGTGTAGATTCAAGTTTGTTCAAATCATGACCCCCAGGGGTAGGGTGGGGCCACAATGGGGGATCAAAGTTTTACACAGGAATAAAAAGGAATAAATCTTTAAAAATCTTCTCCTCAAGAACAACTAAGCCACGATTAGTCATATTGATATGGAATTATCCTCAGGTAGTGTAGATTCAAATTTTTTCAAATCATGACCCCCAGGGGTAGGGTGGGGCCACAATGGGGGATCAAAATTTTACATAGGAATATACAGAAAAAAATTTTTTAAAAAATCTTCTTCTCAAGAACGACAAAGCCACAATTAGTCATATTGATATGGAATCATCCTCAGGTAGTGCAGATTCAAATTTGTTCAAATCATGACCCCTGGGGGTAGGGTGGGGCCACAATGGGGAATCAAAGTTTTATATAGGAATGTATAGAATAAAATCTTTAAAAATCTTCTTCTCAAGAACAACAAAGCCACAATTAGTCATATTGATATGGAATCATCCTCATGTAGTGCAGATTCGAATTTGTCCAAATCATGACCCCTGGGGGTAGGGTGGGACCACAATAGGGAATCAAAGTTTTACATAGGAATGTATAGAATAAAATCTTTAAAAATCTTCTTCTCAAGAACAACAAAGCCACAATTAGTCATACTGATATGGAATCATCCTCAGGTAGTGCAGATTCAAATTTATTCAAATCATGACCCCTGGGGGTAGGGTGGGGCCACAATGGGGAATCAAAGTTTTACATAGGAATGTATAGAATAAAATCTTTAAAAATCTTCTTCTCAAGAACAACTAAGTCACAATTAGTCATATTGATATGGAATCATCCTCAGGTAGTTAGTGTAGATTAAAGTTTATTCAAATCATGACCCCAGGGGTAGGGTGGGGCCCCAATGGGCTATCAAAGTTTTACATAGGAATGTACAGAAAAAAAAGTTGAAAAATTTTCTTCTCAAGAACAGCAAAGCCTTGTTTAGTCATATTGATATGGAAGCATTCTCAGATAGTGTAGATTTAACTTTGTTCGAATCATGACCCCCAGGGTTAGGGTGGGGCCACAATGGGGGATCAAAGTTTTACATAGGAATATATAGGAAAAAACTTTAAAAATCTTCTTCTCCAGAACGGCAAAGTCATGTTTTGTCATATTGATATGGAAGCATCCTCAGGTAGTGTAGATTCAAGTTTGTTCAAATCATGACCCCTGGGGGTAGGGTGGGGCCACAATGGGGGATAATAGTTTTACATAGGAATATATATGGAAAAAAACTTGAAAAATCTTCTCAGGAACAGCAAAGCCATGTTTTATTGATATGGAAGCATCTTCAGGTAGTGTAGATTCGAGTTTGTTCAAATCATAATCCACAGGGGTAGGGTGGGGCCACAATGTGGAATCAAATTTTCACAATTGGAATAGATAGGAAAAAATCTTTTCAACAACAGAAAAGCCATGTTTAGTCATATTGATATGGAAACATCCTCAGGTAGTGTAGATTCAGGTTTGTTCAAATGATGGGGGGGGGGGGGTAAGGAGAAAATCCAAGCCCCCCCCTTTAAACTTTTCAATACTGAAGTGATTTGTGCTTTTTCCTAGCCATGTGCTCAGGTGAGCAATGTGGCCCATGGACCTCTTGTCTTCTTATGATATTAAAATCAAACAATAAAGTTAGAAAATAAAACAAAACTGTAAACATAGACTATTCACAGCCATTAAGTACACGCCTTTTACATTCACCTTGTGTGTTTACAATTATGTAACCCCTCCCTCGATAGCGCGTGGCAAAGGAGGTCACCGGGGATCAATCGGCGTGTGAACCAGCGACCTAGGGTCATACACAAAACCAACCATGATAGAAATGGCCATTCCAAATACATTTTGTAATACATTTTGTAAACTAAGTGATGAGTGGATAAATATGTTGAATCTTTCAGATTATTTCATTATATCTTTGATTAAGTACATTTCAATTTATATTTTATTCGCTGAATTACAAGAAAGTTGCATATTTATTTTCAAATGTATTTCTCGATATCGAGATAATTGCACTTTGTGGAAAATTACTTTAAAATCATTTCAAATCTTTCACATATGATTTTGTCTTACTTTTTATCACTCGCTCATTTTAATCAGCTAGTCTTAACTGCCTTTCACTTATTCACTTCAAATTCAATGCATTTTGATGCGAAAAGATCACTTTGTTTGCGTATTAAAGAAACAGTTTATTTATCTCTCTAATGTTATTATGTAACGAGTTGCTATTTCTTTCATGAACATTAAAGAGCATGTATATAATAATCACGATAATTGTATGTGGAGGTCACATTTTTAATTGTCAGGAAAATCGAAAATAAAACTAAGTACTTTTGAGTTTGTATCATTTTCTAATAACTTGCAATATTATTGCATACAAATATTAGGTCGGATGCAAGTAACCTAAATATTTCACTTGTATTTGAAAATTCTATCGAGCGTCGAATGAATTTTACCCGTTAAAAAGTGTACAAAAAACTTCCTATGCAGTTTTCTTTGGGAATCAACTGGCTAAGATAGTCTACTCCGACATGTGTTGACAAAACTCATGCAATAGAGATTGTTTTAAAAACGTGTTGTTTAGGAAGATTAATCTGATGCATTTGTTTTATTTCATTTAATAAACTGAATTTACCCATGATACGAATTACTGGTACATGCATGTAAGTACATGTAAATGCGGTTTTATTTGTTTATGTGGAAGAGCGCTCAAAATAAATACACTTCGAACTCTGAAATTTCCCTATTTTACTGTTTAAATCATAGGTCCGCTCAGCTGACGAGTTGTTTTAATAACGGTAATAAATTATATTCAGGTCCTGGCCAGCGATTGTTACGGTTGCAGGTAGTACCACAATCAAAACCTGCGACAGTGTAATGCGGAAAGGATTAACACACAGCGGATGGGACGCGGACTAATACGGGATCCGTGTTGCCTGTACTTTATATTGAAAGCAAACCAAAACTGTAGGACAAGTAGCGTTTTAAAATGAATTTCACAGAAATTTCTATTTTTAGTAACCGTGGCAACACCGTTCAACAAAATCAAAAATTGATGCATTAAGTTATGTATCTTAGTGTAGTCTACTTGTGTGCCAAGTTATATTGAAATCAAACCAAAACTGTAGAAGGAGTAGCGTTTTGAAAAATTGTTTACAGACAGACGAACAGCTAATAGACAGACAGACAGACGGACGACGGACACCTTACTAATCGCATAAGCTCTTCTAGTCTCTGACCAGTAGAGCTAAAAAGGAGTCATTACTTTTGCATCTTTGATCATTAAAGTTACAAAAATACATACCTATTGGAAACAATGGAAGGAAAATAGCACTGGTTGTTTTCATCAACTTTTCTTTCTGAATCAGATATAAATCTACTCTGTTGTCCATAAGCTCTAATAGTGGATACACCACTTATTGACTCTCCGAAGTGAGAGAATATTGGTGATCTTAGTGTTGACTCTAATCTTTTAAGCTGTCTTGAAGTTGCAACATAAAATCTCTAAAAAAGAAAGGAAAAAATCACCAACACACACATAGTGAAATTAAAGAACAAGAGGCCAATGGACCACAACTGAGTCCCTATGGCCCTGCTGTTCTTCATCAGATCTTTTCCCAATTTACGTGTGTATTCCTATGTAAAATTTATATTCACCTTTAGTGACCCCATCTTATAAACAAGGGCCATGATTTGAATAAAACTGAAGCTATACTACCAGAGGATGCTTCCATGTAAATATGACTAATCATAGCTTTCCTGTTTTTCAGAAATCTTTTCTTATCAATTCCTATGTAAAACTATGATCATCTTATGAGGCCCGACCCTGCCCATGGGGTTCAAGATTTCAGAAACTTCAATCCACACCACCCGAGGATGATTCCACATTTAAAATATGATTCATCATCTCTTTGCTGTTCATGAGAAGAGGTGTTTTAAAGACTTTTTCCTATAAAACACTGTGTAAAACAATGACTGGTAAAAAAAATTGAATCTACACTACCTGAAGTTGCTTCTATGTTCATATGACTGATCATGGCTTTGCTGAAAACAATGCTTCATCAGAAAACTTTCATCTAGGTCTCATCTTTTCTGGTCCATTGGTTCTGAGAAGATTTTTAAAGATTTTTCCTCATATTTCAATGTAAAAAGTTCATCCCCTATTGTGGCCCCAATCCCCCAGGAGCCATGATCTGAATAATTCAGAATCTACACTACCTAAGAAATCTTAAACATAAGTTTCACCTTTTTTGGTCCAGTGGTTCTCGAGAAGAAGGTTTTTACCTATATATTTCAATGTAAAACTTTGATTCCCTATTGTGGCCCCATCCTATCCCTGGGGGCCATGATTTGAACACTTTAGAACCTAACCTACCTCAGGATGCTACCACTTAAGATTTATCTTTTCTGGCCCTGATATTCTAAAGAAAACTTAAACAAAAATTTCCTATTTATTTTATGCAAAAATTTGATTCCCCATTGTGGCCCTACCCTATCCTGGGGGCCATGATTTGAATAATTCAGAATCTACAGTAAGCTTCCACATAAATTTCAGCTTTTCTGGCCCTGTGATTCTTGAAAAGATTTCTTTAAAGATTTTTCCTACATATTTCAATGTAAAACTTTGATTCCCCACTGTGGCTCCCGAGCACCCTACCCCTGGGGGCCATGATTTGAACAATTCAGAATCTACACTACCTCAGGAAGCTTCAACACAAGTTTCTCCTTTTCTAGCCCAGCAGCTCTTGAGAAAAAGATTTTTTAATGACCCCACCCTAACTTTGCATTTTCTTGATTATCTCCCCTTTGAAGGGGGCTTGGCCCATCATTTTAATTATTTAAATTATTTTTTGCCCAAGCTTAAGCTTTCAGCTCAGGTGAGCTGAAAATGTGTGAATTACATCTATTATTATGGCCATTTTCTTAACACACTTTGTTGAGTCATTGTTTTGACCATTAAAGAAAATAAGAGGCCCAAAGGCCTTACTGGTCACCTGAGTATAAAACAACACTACAAAGGATCTCTTGAAGTATAAAATAAAACAAAATAAATTAAGAAATGAAGATATGCTGACTCAAAGCAAAAAATAAGATGATCAGGGATCAACAAATAGTTACAAATGTAGTCTAGTTTAAACCTAAAGCTTAAACTTTAAACTTAAAACTTTAAATCACTCTTGTTCAAGCGTGAATATGCCCTGTGAATGTAAAATCCAGCACAGCATCAAGGACCCCATGTACAATCTTTTTGCAACCTAAACGTTGATCCATTACTAGCATATGAATACAATAACCTGTGTGCCAGCTTGTATCTTGTCTGGTCAAAGTTTAACACCTTGTAATCTTACTGCCATGTTTTATTTAAAGTCTTTCTTTTGTTTTATCATTTACTTTATATAATAATTTTATCATAGCTTTGAAAGGTCTTTTATTGGTATATTATCATTCATTATTAGCACAAACATTGCACAGTGCATAGAAACTATATGTAATCTTGTGCTTTATAAATTAATAAAATAATAATAACTAGTGCTAATTGTAACCAGAACCGTTACAGATGTTCCTCAAACGGCTCCCCAATCCTTTATGATGCCCAATTCCCTACAAGCTTCATTAAATTAGGCAGTACTTTTGTAATATAGATGGACACTTTATTTTTAAAGCCCGAGATAATAAGCACAGCCCTAATAGATTTACGTCATATGGATTTCCATGTCAATCAAGTGAATTTAGGCCCATCATTGGGTGCTTGAAATTGATTGACATATAGCTACTAGTCCCTGTGTATAACTTGAATGTCTTGCTTGAAACTCGTGGTGACCATTAAATAAACTTTCGGTCTTTTGATGTTTATCGCATATATAACAGCGTAATAAAGAAGCAGTATCAATGCAAATTTTTTTAGTTTAATTATAATTATATGAAGTACAAACACATGAAAAACAAATTCTCATAATGATGCAGTAACATAAATCAGGCTTGTGTATAATAACTTTTTTTTAAATAAATAAATTTTGATTCAAAGTACAATATGATAAGTACATAGGTGACTGAAATCTTGTTTTCACTTGTAGAAGATTTTTTTTTTGAGACATGGAGAAAAAATTACGATGAAAATAGAGAAGAAAAAAGCTTTTTGCGTATAATGAATAGTCAGGATGAAAGCAATATGTCTGATCAGTAACAAGGTATTTAGGGTTTCTTCTTCTTCTTTTTTTTTTTTACACAGCTTTTCTCGCTATGGAGGTCATTACCTCCTTACCGGATTGTTAAAATATTTTCTGACAGAAATGCCTATGTTAACAATTAATATATATTTCATTTTAAATTGTTTTATTATAATATAAATTTACTTAAATATATATTTTTTAAATTCTGTGAAACCATGATTCTCGCGACTTTTTCACCATACAACACACAGCTAAAATTAGGACCACATGCTTTTTCATACAAATGGGAAGTAATCGTGGCCGTGATCGAAGTTCAAATGGTACGATATTTACGATAATAATTTTTAAAGATTTGAAAGGGACAGGCAAGGATGAATATCTTACTTTAAAAAATGTACAAGTATTCATTTATTTTAATGGTGAATTCAACTCATTGCTACAATGACTTAAGGTGCATAGGTTTTTACAACAAGAGGCCCAAGGGCCTTAACGGTCACCTGAGTACAATACAACAATTTAGAGGATCCATAAACTGATAAATGAAGCTTTGTTGCCCAAAAGCAAGAAAAATAGTATGATTTGCATCAAATAAATAATTGGTCTAGTATCTATCTGTCCCCCATTTATCACTATTACCATGCAGACTATTAACAAACTATTTTTTAACCCCATATTATTACTTTTCACATTGGCCTCTCTTGGCCTTTGAAAAAACAATTAAAAAAGATAATTTATTTTTGTCTCAATTTCATTCATCTATTATTTCCAAGTCTACCTGATCATTAAAACTATGAAAGTTCTTTTTGTATTATACAATATATATTCTTGCATAATTCTCTTATTCTATTAAGCATTCAAATACATTATTTACAGTGATTCATTATCAAAGGTGAATGGCAAAGGGGAATAATAACTTTGCTCAGCAGAATACAAGTTAATAGAGCACTGGCCAGGACCAGAACACTTGACTAAATGGTCCAGGTGTTCAAAATTCTGGTAAAAATACCCTTGCATATTAAAACTTTTCTCTGTTTGCCTCAAATATGCTAAGAAGCATAGAAGATTTTCAAAGAAATGCATTTTCACTATATTATTAAATAAATAAAGCCCCATCTTTACACCAGAACAATTGACCCATTGGCCATTAACTCACAATTCTGGAATAAGCACCCTTGCTCATTATAACTATACACTTGTTTCTTTGCTTTATAACCGGTAGTAGAAAAAAAATATTTTGAAAAAAAATTATGCATTTTCACTATATAATCAATAGAGCCCCATTCTAACACCAGAACCCCTGACCCTGGGGCCATGAAATTCACAATTTTGGAAGAGGCACTCTTGTTCATCATAACTATGTACTTAGTTAGTTTATTTAATACCCAGGAGCAGAGAAGAAGATTTTCAAAGAAATAATGCACTTTCACTATATAATCAATAGAGCCCAGCCCTAACACCAGAACCCCTGACCCTGGGGCCATGAAATTCACAATTTCGGAAGAGGCACTCTTGTTCATCATTACTATATACTTACTTAGTTTACTTAATACCCAGAAGTAGAGAAGAAGATTTTCAAAGAATTAATGCATTTTCACTATATAATCAATAGAGCCCAGCCCTAACACCAGAACTCCTGACCCTGGGGCCATGAAATTCATAATTTCAGAAGAGGCACTCCTGCTCATCATAACTATATACTTAGTTAGTTTATTTGATACCCTGGAGCAGAGAAGAAGATTTTCAAAGAATTAATGCATTTTCACTATATAATCAATAGAGCCCAGCCCTAACACCGGAACCCCTGACCCTGGGGCCATGAAATTCACAATTTTGGAAGAGACACTTTTCCTCATCATAACTATGTACTTAGTTTATTTAATACCCAGGAGCTGAGAAGAAGATTTTCAAAGAAAAAATACACTTTCACTATATGATCTATATAGCCCCTACTTAGAACCCCTAACCCTGGGACAATGAATTTCATAATTTTGGTAGAGGACTCAATGCTTATTACAATCATGCCAACAGTTTGACTGCTTGATGTCAATGAGTAAAGAAGAAGATTTTTAAAGATTGCATTAATTTTGGTGGTTTTAGCCCCCCCCCCCCCCTCAGGCCCCAGGGGGACAGGGACCATGCAATTCACAATTTTTGTTCCCCTTCACCCATACATGCTGTATGCCAAATTTGGTTGAAATTGGTTGAGCGGTTTCATAGAAGAAGCTAAAAATGTTTAAATGATAACGCACATCGCACGACGACAAAAATGGATAGCAATAGGTCACCTGAGTGACTCAGGTGAACTAAAAATCGATTGGATTTCAGAATGAATTT